CTTAACTGCTCAATTTGTAAAATTGGTACGATCTATGGGTCAGAATTAAAATGTAACCTTTAGGCGTTGTTTGGATGTCGTCGGATTCATCTCAATCCACATGTGTTGAGGTGGGTTGGGGTGGAATTTAGTTTAAGTTCCACTCCAATCCATCCCCACACATGTGGATTGATTGGAATCCGACTACATCCAAACAAGGCCTTAGCTGAAAATTGTTCCAATCTTTTGTGTTAGAATCATAATGTACAGATTCAGCAGCTATTTTCATTGTCTTCTCTTGAATCATGATGTTACCAAATCTTATGAAACAATTACATTGGCAGCTATTGCAATGATTGCCGGGATCTGGATCTCTGCCGTGACTCAACACTCCAAGGTCAGGAGTGGAGATGCGCGGTTCCGCAGTGTGGGCAACCATACCACCGTGAGCAGATGGAGAACGCACTTCTACAGGTGGTCCGCCAGCGAGAGAGGCTGTACCACCTGCAGGATCTGGTGTGCGTGCGCTGCAGGCAAGTGAAAGCCGCCCATTTGTCGGAGCAGTGTTCCTGTGGGGGCTCCTTCCGGTGCAAGGAAGAGTCTTCATATTTTCTCAGCAAAATGCGGGTATTCCTGAAAGTGGCGGTCAGCCAACAGTTCCAGCTCCTGCAAGATTGCGTGCAATGGATTCTTGAAGTCAGATGATGCAGGCAGCAGGCTGCTACTTCAACATAGTTTAGCGATCGCTAGGTTTTACAACTTGCATAGGCTATAGCTCCGAAGAGTGTATATAAACGGGTGTATAGCGGTGCCACGTATCAGCTTGATCTTTGGTAGAGTAAAACTGTTCGGACTTCAGAAGATACCAGTTTATCAGTGATGAAGACTAACGATGTGTGGTAGCAGTGTACCTCTACCCTGCTTGCAAAAGATTGTTATTGTATTGTAGATATTCAAAGGCGGATGAAAAATTGACAAGAAACGATTGTAACCTTGGTATCGAAACATCTTGATAATTAGCCTTATGCGGGGGAGGGGGGGAATTATAGAAAAAAATCTAGTATGTGACATTGCTGGTGCAAAAAATCAACTTTGTATTGGAGGCCATGTAGATAGATATCTTTGGTTATGGCCTATGAGCATGGAGTTGAACGGAAAATAAAGTTGCGTTTTCAAATCTAGCCGCATAGATTATTCTAAGTTATGATGTTGTATGAACGGTAGGGATGACGTGAAAAGAAATACACGCGTCGGACCGAATGCTGCCAGCCTGCCACTACGCTAACCTTGGGACGTCATGCTAGTTGTCTGTTTTTGTTGCCACCATCATCATACTGCATTATTTTACACAAGGAAAAGGAAAAGGAAAAGGAAATGGAGGCCGTTGTACTTGTGACGTGTTTTTTTTTTGAGTGGATGTACTTGTGACTTGTGAGGGGCCAGGATTCGTTGGATGGATGGATGGATGAAGCCCGCGTGCCCTGTGACCTCAGCCTTCTCGTATGCCCCGGGATGCATTATTGTAGGATAGGAGTACCACTTGTGATTTTATAAACGTTGTCAAACTTGTCCTTTGGTTCGCGAGGGGCGACCTCATCATATTTTAATCTCTGACTGACGATTTGGGACGGCACAGAGCGCCAATGCCATGACAATGATTTGCTGCACGATTCCGCGGCAGGTGATGATGGTTAGTTTTGCCGGTTCAGAGCATCTGCGCTGCAGGCCCGGTAAGTCAGAAAAATCTGTGCCTGCTGTGTCCTCAACCGCTTGGGGGTACGTACGCTTGCATTTGCATATGGATCAAGTTGCTCTTAGACTAGACTTCCTTAGCTGTTGGCTGTAGCTGCGACTTTGACTTAGCTCATGGGTTACTCTGCGCTGTATTACGTACTTTTGCTCGTGGAGACAAACAACGGCGTTTGCCTTCGGAGCGTGGAATGTTTTCCATCTTTTATTTGTTTGCAGAGTAGTATTAAAAGTGGTTTCCGTCTTCGTACACAAGTGAGAAAATGAGTCAGTCAACGTGAGAGGGTACTAGTAGGTGATCAAAACACAGAAAATCCACAATGCATGCATCCACACTAAGCAGCATATTTGGTTACAAATGCTCTCTCCATTTGTTGCATCGTTTCTCTAGAGTTTTTTTTTGGGTATTTGGAAATAGTTTTACACACAGCTGATCCTTATAAAGATTCCAGCCTCAAGCTATTTTAATGAAAACCTCAAAATAACAGAAACCAAGCGAACGAGCAATTGCTTAAACACTAATCTTCTTAAAGGATGACCACCTGTGCTTGGCAAAGATCTTCGTAGACAGTCTCCAGCAATGTGATAGGTCCAGTTCGAAAGTGATATGTTGCTCTCTTTCTATAGGATATTCCAACGTGTATAACTGTATATAGAAGATATGTTGCCTTGAAAACAATTTCGACCAGGGATATCCCCCATTTGCATTAGGAACGGAAATCATGAACAGCGGTTCGAGAGTAGCATCTTATAAGACTGTCTCCAATAAGGAGATGCAAACGCAAAATGCGTTCCTCACAGTACTTTGCCTATCCAAAAATACACATCACCCATTTTGCCTACCGGCACAAACCATACGCAAAAAAAGCATCGCCTCTCTCCTCGTTACGCAAATCTCCGATGGCACAGCCGGCGGCAGCGATTTCTCCTGTGAGGGCTTCGGCGCGGCGGGCCCGGCTCCGGCGACTGTTGATGTCGAGCGCGGGTGGTGCTCGGGCACAGGGCGTCGGCGGCGGTCGCGGATGGCGGCGCTCGGTGGCGCGGCTCCGGCGATGCTCGGCCCAGCCAAGCGCCCGACCGTGGTATTCATTCTTGTGGCGACAATGATCGCAGTCGGTCGGGACTCGGCTGGCAAGCTGGCTTCCGGCATGGGCGGCCACACTCGCGGAAGGACGGCCACACATGGTGGCCCATACGATGCGCCTACACACCGGGAGAGGGGGAAGAGAGAGAGGCGGCTCGCCACGCCGAGCTAGGCTGCCTCGGGCCGCCAGGGCCCCTGACCATCAAGCAATGCAGGAGGCCGCCGCGTTCAGACCGGCCTTGGCGCCCGCCACCTGAGAGAGAGAGAGGGAGAGGGAGAGAGGAAGGTGAGGCGACGGGAGCTTTTCTCGTTTGCGTCGGCTGTTGGGAAAGGTAATTTTTTGGGTCCGTGACCTTTCGTTGTGCGGTACCCAAACCATGGTATGCCTCTCGTTTTTAAGTCCGATCTATTAGAGACAGTCTAAGGAGTTTAAAAGGCATTGCATCATCACCTAGCTCAGTTTTCTGGCAAGCCTAAAGACTCCCATTACCATTAAGTTGTCTTGAAAATAACCTACAAATAAGTATCAAATGTTGCATCATTTCTAGTAATATTGTACTTGCTCCCAAGCAAATTAGAGAGCCTATTTGTTGAAACCACACTTACTCTCATATAAAGACTCATGTGACAAATCTATGGGATTGTTTGGCAAAGCTCATAGAGCAGTTTCCAGATTGAATCCACACGGAGATCCGCCAAACAGTATCTAAAATGAACTAGGGAGCTAGAATATGAGAAAAGTAGCTTCTTCCGATTCACTTCTCGTACAATCAGCCTGTTCGTTTCGGCTGGATTGGTTTATGTCATGGGTTGAAGTACTGTTGGCTGGTTTGGTGTAAGAGAAAAACACTGTCGGCTGGCTGATAAGTCAAGCCAGATATAGGCAGATACAGCCTGCCGAACAGGCTGAATATCACCTTTCACCTAATCCAAGAGAATTTACCTTCAAACATGCAGAGTTCTTGGGATAGGAAAAGCTAGCGTGTATATAGGTGAAAACCAAACTATCTATGTGAACAGTTCATCCTAGATAGCATATGGATGAAATGAAATGTGAAGAGAGCACGTGAATTTATCAGAGCATACTTGCATCGAACGATATATAGTTATACTAGTATCTGGGGCGCGCGCATTCGCGCGCCCGTGAGGTGTCACGGCAACCAATTGCAGGGATCTAAAGTCAGTGTATTTGTGCGAGATAGAAGTCTAAATATGGATATAGGATAGCGGTCCATTAGTACATTGAAGGTTAAAAGGTATCTATATTACAAGAGTATTTGCTGCTATCACAATACATACGGGCTATATAAAAATTACAATAATTAGAGGCGGTAGTTGATAAACTTCTGGGCTAACAGACTCTGTTGGAGCAGCTGTTTTGGCGTGTGCGCTTGTCTTCAGAGGCAGCCGCTGGCGCTGTTTGTTTCCTAACTGGATTCATCAGCTTCGGAGTTGCGCTTTGGAGTAGCTGTGGTGGAGCATTGTTTGCAGCGACACAAGTTTCATAACCGCAAATTAGTAAAGAGTTGTATGTGTAAATAACTGATCGGTTGATTAAGTACAAGCTGCAGGACAGATGAGAGTACAGGAAATAGTTAACACTACATAATCTGTGGTTCAGCCTGATGTGTTTGCCATTACAGGAAGTTCACATGTTTATAACATGCCATAGTTTAAGCGGAGATAAACTGAGCTGATGGTGACTACAACCATAGAATATAGAAGGAGGCTAAGAATTATACAGGGAAGGGGCTCCTATTTTAAGTTTGGAGTTGAACTGTTTTAGTCTTGGCGAATATTCTACCATATGAAAGAAGCCTGGGAACTGTACAGGGAACATGCACCTTTCTAAGTTCATGGGACTACAAAGCACTGGAACACAGTTTCATACCACAGACAACAAGAGTTTGGAGCAAAAGCCTGGAGCATTCGGTTACATCATCGGCGTTACCTGTTTGGGAAAATTTTCTTTAGTTAGTGTAAATAAACAATGCAAAATTTCTTGTTGAGGCTGTTTTGTGTGTTATCTGAAGTGAATTGATGGATCGAGCCGAACTCTGTTCTCATAAATGTACTTTGCGTGTAGTCGATGTATAAGGTTACCTTAGTGGTATCAGAAAGGTATTTTAGCTGTGGGAACCATTCTTTCCAGCGCGTCCTTCAGAGAGAGACCTTGCTCTGTATTTTTTTAAGAGTCAGTAAACGAAGAGAAGTGGTATGGGTCTATAAATATGTGAAGCATATTAGTGTTTGTAGCATACTTCTTGGATTTTGTCTTCGACGATGAAGCATCCTGTGCAGCAAGTCTCTTAAGGTCGTTGATGGTTTGGTCTTCTTCATCGTTCTGAACATCATCATGCTGTAACTTGTATCATTAATATGTTAGAGCCTTGTGTCACTATGATATGCATGGAATCTTGAATTATATACATCAATGTAACTGACCTTGTTCGTCGAATCTGGGTGGCCGAATAGGTTCCTCTGAGCACCGGGATGAACTGCCGACGATCTTACAGAGACAAAGAATGAAGTATTATTAGATAAATCTATTGACTAAAGCTTGTCGTGTATGGATCATACAAAATTGCTGGTTAGAGTATTTTTTTAGAGCACCTGGTATCATCATCTTTACAGGTCTCTTTATCAGTGTCAAGAGCTGGTACTGGAGTCTGTTTCATGTCATAGCAAGACAAATATGGCAGTATGTTTATAAACATTAGCATAATGGAATAAGCTTGTATAAAATCTGGTTACCTGTTGTGTTCCTGACTCAATCAGAAGCACCTCACTTGGATGTTGTGGACTATCAGTATCTGTAGAGGCATTTGTTGGCTTCTTTTCTTCATACTGAGACATGGAAATAATGTCTGTTTCAGACTGTTTTGGTGGTCTTGCTAAAACAGCCTTGACCTGGTATTGTTTGTATTTTGTGCTCTTGCATGAATCATTAGTAAGATCAACAGAGAGCAGGAATGTGCTGTTAATGATCTTCTGTAATGGCTGAGGCAAGGCATCTCGTGGAGCTAATGGGTTCATCACTGATTCACAGTCTCTCTGAATCATTTTGTAGGCTTCGTCATCATAAGCAAAGAATCTAGCTTCACCTGTTTCATCTCTTCCTGTGAACGATATTAGGTACCTGTGGAATTTAGGAAACAGTGGATTTATAAGTACCTAGAGAAACAGTCTGTGTATGTGTGTATTTTAAGCGGAAGTGGTTTCAGCAATAGGTACCTAGGAACCGTAGCTGTGCCTTGACATTTTTGACATTTATAGCTTCCATCTGGCTGCTGTTCAGCCTTTTTTTTACACAGTTTGCAAGACATGTACCACCAGCTGGTTGAGATTATAATGGAGACAACTGTTACCGTGCACTTGAAGGGCCCCTGTTCATATTATAGGGTTAGTAGGTAGGTGTCGAATGTTTTGACAAGGTATGTACAAAGATGTGAAAAAATGAGTGTAATATGTGTGCCACGTACCTCTTCATCAAAAGGGTCAACCTGGTTGAGTGCATCTATAGTTTTCTCTAGAAGCTCAATGTCTTCAGCTGGAGAGTGAGTCTCTTCATCTGTTGGTCGATCGATGTACACCGGGGTGTTTTTGAATCTGAGAACGGCAATTTTAGTGTTGCAGCATATGATGGTTTAGTTACATATGGGGTCAGGTCGACGAAGACTGTACCTAGAGTAGAAAGGACGTGCCTCTGGAATGTTAGGGTTCAAGTAGTAGCAGCAGGCTGAACTTCCTGTTAGGCATGGTTTATCTGCGAGAGGCCAGAGGCGAACAATTTTCAGAATGAAAAAGTATGCTGGTTTACTATGGTAGATGGGCATACGCCTATGACCTTTGGTCTGGAATGTAGAAGATAAATTACCATTATTTTTAATATCCTCTCGTGGTACGCATCCAACAACAAGGCAAACAATAACATTACCAGCCTCACTGTCGTATATATTGCTAATGTTGAAAGCTCTAGCATGCTCGCTCCATAGGGTAATCTTCATCATATTGTCTCTGGATGGGAATTAATTCTGGATGAATATATATTTTTACACCTGTATAGGCGGGTGGTAAGTGCAAGGTGTTGTAGTCTGTGACATAGGCAGTTACATACCTTAGATCCTTGATATAGATCTCTCTGAGCGTTTTTGCCTTTTCTTGGTTCTTTGGCACAAAAGTATGCGTTGCTTCATACTTGACGAGGTAACCAATGACATCTTAAAAATTTAGAGGTCAACAGCACCAGCTAACAAGAAAATAACAAACTGAAAGTGAAGATAGAGTTTATCTGCAACCTATTCTGGATCTACAACGAACCTGTTAAGTTGTAGACCATTCGTGTTGGTTTTATGGCTGGGAACTAAGTGATCCTATAAATGTATTCAGGAATTGTTTGTGGAGGGTTTTGAACAACCTCAACAGTCGTTTGGGCTGCCATCTCTATCATCAGATCTTTGTCAACTGGCCTGTAGCTTTTCCTGGCACTGTCAACGAGAAATTTCTTGATAATATAAACCTTTCCAACTTCAAAAAGAGATGCCTTGGATTTGATCAGGTCATTTGAAATCTCTGCATACATGGCGTGTCCCTGTAATTGTAAATACGCAATGAACTGATTAGATGCTATCAATATGAACATGTAATAGCAGAAGGTATAGTATTGATTCTATTTTTTGAAGGCTAACTAATTTTAAGATGGTTTTGACAAAGTCAGGAAGGTACCCGTGCGTCTACTAGAACCATGCCAACATACAGAGGTGGTCCCTGGCCCATGTTTTCACAGTGTGTCCATTTTCTGATGACTCGAGTAGCTATGCCTTGTGCGTGGCGACCTTTCTGCAGATTGCTGAGAAACCTTGGCTGCTGCATGGTGTACCTGGTATGTATGAAAGGAAGTGTTATTTTTGGTATGGAGGCAGTTTTAAAATAGCAGAAATAGAAGGTTGCTCGCTTTTTCTGTTTTGGATAAACAACCACTGTTTCATTTCTTAGTTTACCAAAAAGAGTGCAGACGCTGCATTCATGTACATATTGACAGCACTACCTAAATCCCTCTGTGGAAGGATTTTCAAAAGCATCTATACAGGCCAAATTTTGGCTATGGTAGGCACGCAGGCCTGCTGCAACGAACTGTACATATATAGGTACACTACTTAAATTATCATGGGCTTAATAGATGCAAACAGGAAGCAAAATACTACTGAAAGCAGGTGGAGTTTGGTAGGTGAAATGCATAGGTATGGCTGGTTTCATCTTTTATCTAGTCTAAATACTGAAGCACTTCTCTGTAGACTACATTCTTGGTCTCATTGGTAGCTTTTCCATCGTCATCTTCGATGTATATCTTTAGACCTTGCTTTGTAGTTGCACGTGATACAGCAACGTATAGCTGTCCATGTGAAAAAATAGGCTTTTTGAGGTAGACGCCAACAGCTGAGAGAGTTTGTCCCTGGCTCTTGTTGATTGTCATAGCGTAGCATACTCTGATAGGATATTGTCGACGCTGTAGAACAAATGGCCATTTGTTACTTTTTAAAGTTAAGGTTATGCGAGGTATAGCGAAGGCTTGATTCGCCTGTCGCCCATTCATAATCTTAGCTTCAATTGTCCATTCTCCAACCGAAGTGATGATCAGTCTTGTACCATTGCAAAGACCAGCCCTTTGGTTGAGATTGCGCAGTAACATTATTAGGATTCCTGGTTTCAGAATAATTTTATGCTGTGGGAAATTATTACCACTGATTGAGTTTAAGAACTCAATTGGGTATAAGAGGTCATATGCTTCTTGTTGAGCGGTGGATTTGTCAATAGTATCTGAGCTTAGGCATTCCTTCTCTGTACCAGGGACTAAGGGGATCATGTAATCATTAACAGTATCTGTCAGTTCATTTGTTGGAGCTAGTATAGCTCTCTGTGATAAGTATACAGGGTCTTTGTATCTGGCATGAAAGTTAGGATAAACTGAGTGGACAATAGCTACAAGTCTGTCCTCATCAGGAGTGATAAGCAGTTGCTGTGGTACTGTAATCCAGCTTGGTTCGTCGTCTCCGTCTCTAGCCGTGCATGGTATTTTGCCTTCACCGATGTCCAATATCCACCTACTAAATGCTGCCACCTCCTGCTGTTTAGAAGGATCCTCTGGTGAACATACTAATCGCATATTCTGTTTTAGACTCAGGATTTCAACATGGGGCCATAACCGAGACCTGATGATAGTGGAGCTAATGATATCTTCTTTGGTACCACCTTCAACCACAGGTAAGATTTGTCTGAGGTCCCCTCCTAGAACAACAACTTTTCCACCAAATGGTGTATGAGCAGCTTCTGGGCTTTTGGCTTTTTCAATATCTCTGAATGTGCGGTCTAAGGCCTTGAAGCATCTCCTATTAGCCATGAGGGCCTCATCCCAGATGACCAAGCTTGTGAGCTCAATAAGCTCAGAAAGCATTGTGCCCCTACTAACATCGCAGATTGTATCCTCTTCTACCTCACAAGGAATTTTGAACCTTGAGTGAGCTGTACGACCTCCTTGGAGCAGCAGCGCCGCTACACCCGAGGAAGCCACGGTCAGTACAATCTTATTCTTTGCTCTAAGATATCCAACCATTCTATTCCATAAGTATGTTTTACCGGTGCCTTTGTATCCTGAAACAAAGAAGAATCCAGGCTGGTTTTGTTCAACTCTCTGGACTATTGTGTTGAAAGCATTTGCCTGATCTTCGTTGAGAGAAATAGTTGGATTATTCAGATCAATGGATGGATCCGAGGGATGTGATAGTTCCTCTTCAACCAGACGATTGTGTAGAATAGGATATTCAGATTGGGTCTTTGGAGGCAGATTGTAGTCAACTATGTTCTTACCACTCTGCGAGAATAAAATGGCTAGCTCATCGAGAAGAAAATCTCTAGTTCGTGAATCAGGTACTGCATAGTTTGGATCACCGACCATCTCTATATTGATAGATAATATCATCAGATAGATGGCGCCATACTTTTTCAAAGAAACTCTTTTCGTCACCTACCTCACAGAACAGGATCATGGTAACGAACAAGCTTCGTAGCTGTGCCGAAGTAGCCCAAGCAGCCGACTCATCAAAGGCATTATACCACTCTTGGTCATCACCAAGGAGACCATATGATCGGCATGCCTCTTTGAAAGTGTGATGATATGTTCCATTATGAAATCTAAGGTTTTCATAGCTGGTGGCACCTTTCACTATTAGAAGAAACATGCGAAGGTAGTACCGCTCACCAGCCGATGGGTGTACATAATGGAGCCTGCCTATTTTACCAAACTTTTGCTTCCGTTTATGCCATTTCCTGTCTCTTTGATCCCATAACCATCTAGAGGGAAATTGCGGATAAGTGAGCGTTCTAGCTTTAGGGAAAATCGCATTACACTTAAACCACTGAGTCAACATTGTTCTTCTCAAAAACTCTGCTGATACTAATTTCTCCATTTTGGTCCTTGCACTAAAGCTTACAAAATTTTCGTTTGGAAGGTGGACAGGCATTCTCTCTACCGCTGGGTGGTGTCTGTGGATGTCATATCCAAATATTCTCCAGCATGCATCTTGTTCACAGATATATCTGCAATCGAGGTATTCTTTTACCTCATTTATAGTGTTTGTTTCGTCATCATATGGTGCTGGCTAGCCTTTCTTAACCCTCTGTAGGTAAGCTTTGCTACAATCAGCTCCCTTGGTTACATATTTGAAGAGGTACTTGATGAAGGTCATTTTATTGCACCATTCAACATTTATATGTGCCTGGTACTTTTTGAGCAGCACCATATTATATGGGACAACCCATCTATTATCCATCTGGAAGCCTCCTTTCTTAACAAAAAGTGCATTTGTTCGTCTCTTGTACACTGCAAATCCATTCTTGTTAACTATAGTGCCTGCCTCATATGTCTTGGGAAAATGTTTTGAGCATTTTTTCTTTTTCATGCAGGGACATTTTGGGTTGTCTTTACCACAAGGGCCATGTATCATATGTTCAGAGACGAGAGCATAGCCAAGTGGCTCTATTTTTGGATCAGGTATCTCTGCAGCGACATATTTGTCAATCATTGCTGCGGTTGGACTTGATGTATCCGTGGAAGTCCATAGAATAATATGGGCATGTGGCAGTCCCCTTTTCTGGAATTCGACAGTGTGGAGCACTGCATTGGAAAAAGAGGGATCTTAAGAATTTGTAAGAAATAGTGGCTTGTTAGGAAACAACATGCAGGTAGGTACGAATGGAAAGGACTGTATTGAAGCAAGGATAGCAAGACACTATGCATAAACATGAGTGTACCTGCATTGCAGGGTCCAAAAGATGTACCAGCTTTGATATCATGTAGAAGTTCCTCTAATTTCATATTAAAGACCCTGACTATCAGATCATTCCTGTCAACTGGCTTTTGTCCAGGATCAAAGATGGCCTCAGCGATCTCAGGCCATTTAGGATTGCATGTGAAAGTAACGAAGAAATCTGGAGGACCATATTCTCGACAAATAGCGATCCCATCATGATAATTTTGTATCATGTAACGTCTGCCACCCGTGTGCGACGTCGGTAGCACGGTCATCTTCCCCATCTCGCTGCCCTCTGTGGATCCTCTGTTTATTGCATCACAAATTCCTTGGATACTTTCCATTCTAATATCAGCTTGGTTTTCTACTATGTACCGTAACCTGTTTTCATCTACACAGGCCCGAGCATCCACCTTAGCTTGACCTGAGAGCGCACCATAACACAGATACGGATTTGGTTCATCTTTCCTATAATGGAACATGTAGCAGTAGTAGTCCTGCATGCTGACTTTTATATGAGCATTGGCTCTTGTCTGTATGACTCCAGCGTACAGAACGCCAGCTTGCCAACCGCGCTCAGCATACGGAAATAACAAAGGATATTGAAGTGCCATGAAAGCGGGATGCAGAGCAGAAATCTGTTGAAGGTCTCCTGCTTGTTTCTGCACAATAATATCCCGCTCAAAGGCTTTGTAACTGAAATCACCAACTACTAACATAGCCAGCTGATCCGTAGTTGGTAAGCTGTACTGAGGCGGATCATCATCTCTGGGGCCAACTATGCGAATAACAAAGTCTTCTATTTCATCATCTGCCAACCGGTCCCTCGCCATCCGAAACTGCTGCGCGAATGAGTTGTGTTGATCAAGCATGGCAGCTAGGGACTGAACAATAGCAGGATCTAGATCCGATCCTCTAGCGTCATGATGCCCTAAAGAAGCAATTCTATTTTGCACCTCGTGCGATGTATCATACACATATAGTTGTATGAACTTGGTAGGCTCATCATCCGGTGGCAGCAAAGAACCTATGCGGTGGTGAATTTGTCCACAAATCTTGAAAACCGGAGGACCTCCACCATCATTCATGGACCGGTCTATGTTTGATTACATCGAAGTGAAGGCAAAAAGGCAATTGTACTGCCTGATATTTTTCATAAATCTATTGGAGATAGGACCACCGTCAGATCTCGCAAGAGTTGCTAGAGGCTCAGGTCTTGGTAGGAACCGCGGAATGGCGACTCTGCCTCCTTTGCAGCACTTGTTGTAGATAACTGAGCCCGAAGAACCCTGGGAGTCTTTGCCAACTCTTTTGGCGTGCCTAAAAATGGCTCGGCAGTTGCAGCATTGCTGATCAGGTGGACCATAATATGATCTTCCAGGATACAAAACTGGTTCATAGATATGGAACAGGCAGATGCATAGTAAGAAGCTATTTTTTTTGGCCTGGGCTGTGCACCGTGCTAAAAGTAAAGGCACATGTGCTGTGAAGATATGGAATCAGTACTGTCGGTGTTTCGTACAGGCACCGGCAAGTAAATTTATAGTAATGCGTGTTAGGCTCGGATGGTGCGCTAAAGGACACAAGATTTATACTGGTTCGAGCCGAATGTCCCTACGTCCAGTTTATTGCTGCTCGTGTTATTAGCACCGTGAACGGTTCGTAGTAGGGGGTACAAACGATCGAGAGAGGGACTGGTCCCAAGTCTCTGATGAAAGGGTTGAAAGGAGGTCAAGAGCTTGGTAGCCGCTTGACCGTGTGTGTGTTGTTCAATCCGCCCTCCTCATTGATGGAGGAAGCGCATCCCCTTTTATAGAGGAAGGAGGCTGGCTTTTACAAGGGTTAGGGCTTTAGGATGCGTACTCTACTTAGTCTTGTGGCTCACATCTACCCGGCCTGGTTCTTCATTCTGATGAGTGTGAAGGAAGATAAGCGCCTACAATACTGTTGATGTCTCTGTAGAATGTCAGGTTGGTTATAGAATGCTACCTTGCGCAGGGTATGGGCCGTAGTACAATTGTTTTGACTTATGAGCCTCCCCAGCCTTGCTCCGCACGCCTTCTGGTTCCTATGAGTCTTCATCGGAGGGACACGGGGTCGGGGTCTGGAGTAGCGCCGTGGCCAAGGTCTTCTATCTTGGTGGACCTGGGGGGTCGGGAAGCGGGCATCGCTCCCCTGGGTCCATAGCGTGGTGATGGAACCCGTCGTCTGTGGAGATGGCAAATCCTTTTCTGGAGCATAGCGATTGTCGTAGATCTTCGTCGGGTTCCATGTCCTAGAGCTGAAGGCGGCGCCTACAACTCTACAGGGCGAAGAGCACGCACCTGTAACACTTTTTGGGCTCTGCGGCGCCCGGAAGGGTCTAAAGCACCTGTCACGTCGTTCCTCGGCAGTACTTTTCCTGCCAGGGTGCAGGGTATGGTCCTTGGATATCGAGCAGGGCGATGGGTGGAGTTGTCACGTCTTATCTTGCCCTGTACCCATCATTTATGAGGGAATGGGTGGAGTTGTCAGGTAAGATGAAACCAGTCTTTAGATATCGAGCAGGGCGAGGCTCGTTCCTGGCCGTCGGGTGAAACGGAGACCAATCCCTATCTCTTGGGCGAGACCGACCCCGCCCCTCTAGGGTCGGGCAAGGCAAAGTCTATCCTTCAGCCCTCGGGCGAGACCGAGCCCGCCCTATAGGCGTCGGGCGAGTCGGAGACTAGTCCTGAGCCCTCGGGCGAGACCGTGCCCGCCCCAAAGGCATCGGGCGAGACAGAGACTAGCCCTAATCCCTCGGGCGAGGCAGAGCTACCCCAAAGGCGTCGGGCGAGGCGGAACCAAACTCCTGTCGTTCGAGCAAGGAACGCTACGGCGCCCTTATCCGTCCAGAAGTTTTTATCATTCGGTAGTTATTGGTTCCACCTTCTAGGGTACCTCGGTATTAGGTCCCCGACAGTAGCCCCTGAGCCTCCAGGTGATTTGGATAGAACCACCTGGAGGGTGTTTTCGGACCCTTTGCGGGTAAGGCTGAAGGACTTAGTTTTTTGTCAACTGGATATTTTTCGAGGGGTCGTGGTATCCCGTTCGCGGGGATCTCATTCAGGGCTGACCTAGCCGGGGCTTGACCGTGGATCGAGACCTCAGTAATGGTTGCGCCCTTGATTTCGGATCGTTCGCGGACCCGTCCCCAGTTGGGCCGGTCGCCGAGCTTCTGGGCCCTAGGTGGGCTAAAGAGAGAAAGATCTTCACGACATGCGTTTCCCAGATGGGTAGAGTCCGGATTCGCCTGGGGAAGATGAACCTTCCACCGCGACTTTTGGTGGGAAAGGATAGGGACTGCGGGCGCGTGTCCCACGCCGTGACGCGGCGGTGCGCGTGGCAGGCCCAGAGATCGAGGCAGACGGTTGCCCTTCTCACGTCCGTCGCCCCTATAAAACCACGGGGTTCGCCCCCAAGGTTCCATATTTCGCTCCCTTGCCTTTGCATCTTGAAACATCCACCGCCAATCGCCCCAGCCTCCTACGCCTGCGCCGCCACCGTCAGCCGGCTTGCATCTATGTTGACCCCGCCGTCAAGCTTCTTTGCGCGCCAGTAGCAGCGCCATCGAGCTCACGCCCACCTTTCTCCCTAATTGCTTTGATGGAGTTGTGGGGCAGATCTAGCATCACCCCACGGCATTTGGAGGGCCTCGTCCGCCGTGGACTTCTCCGCCCGCTGTCCACCGTCCAGGAGTGGCTGCTACCTAGCGACGAGGGTGAGCCGGTGCCGCCTGAAGGATATGTCGTTTCTTTCGCCATCTTCCATGAGCGGGGATTTGCGGTACCCGCGCATAGATTCCTTCGGGGGCTGCTGGATTATTATGAGGTGGAGCTGCAGCATCTAACTCCCAACGGGGTTCAACATATGGCGGCGTTTGTTGCCCTGTGCGAGGGTTTCCTGGGGATCGATCCCCATTTTGATCTGTGGCGGTATTTCTTTACCATTAGTTTGTCGAAGAGGAAGATTAGAGGGAAAGATGTGAAGGAGCCAATGGGATGTGCCAGCATTCATCTGCGCCATACCCAATCGAGGGGTTACCCATACATGCGTCTGGCGACATCCAACAAGGGATGGCTTTTCATGATGGTTTTATGTTAGGGATGATGTGAGTGCCACCCTACCGAGGTACACCGGATGCCTTATTGAAGAGGCTCCGAGTCGTGGAGTCAGGCGCCGGTTCAAAGACAAGAAACACATCTCCGACCTTCTTCCGCCTACGAAGGATCGGGGCATAAAGGGGACGGGATTATCGGCGCCTATCATGCGAGAGGGTGGGCCGGCGATGGATATGGCGCTTCCCACATCATCGGATGCCGCCGGAATGTCGTTCGAGGGATGGTGCTTGTTGATGAGGCACTCCCCTTTTCGTAAGTGGCACAACGCATTAAGGAGGTGACGAGCCCGACGAAGGACTCCCAAGGCGGCGTCCTCGACATTGTGTATCCGGTGCGGACATCCCCAATGCGCCGTAATCTAGGTTCCTCGAACCGTAAGCCCTCTTCTCCCGTGCTCTTTTCTTTTTCCGAATCTCCATTTTTAACACTTGCTTTTGTGACGTTGGGACCGGTAGAGGGGCTAGTCTTCAAAGATAGTCCGGTTCATTGCTTAGAAGGACAAGGCCATGGCGGTGGCGAATCGACTTCATGGCCGAAAGCGGGACAAGAAAGCAAGGGAGCAGATGAAGAGGGTGAAGCAGCGAAGTAGGAGGCATGGGATCGGGGAGAGGACGTGGCGTGATGATGATGGCGGCGGCGGCGATGGCGATGGCGACGAGGTAGCCATCGGCGTGGATTGGGACGTCTGGAGGACGAGGACACGCGCCGACAAGTGGCCACCCCGTCCGTGCAGGGACCTTCCCATTCCATGCGGAGGGAAGTGAATCGGTGAGGTCGGTGGGAGGCGGCGGGTCCATTGCCGCATGCGGCGGCCGGCCGAGGACCAGTGGATGGAGGAAAGCGGGCACGCGGCTGCCGACCCCCGAGGTGATGGTGGAGGGAGTGGCTCGGTGCCATGCCCCAAGAGACGGGGGAGGGAGGGGCTCGTGCCGTGCCCCATGAGGGCACGGAGGGGGCGGCTGTGTCGCGCCCACGAGATGATGGAGGGGGGCGGCTGCCGGTGCCACGCCCATGAGGTGAGCCCCCCCCTGCAGAGCGAGGGCGGGCTCAAACGGTCCCGCCCAGACGAGTCGAGGCGGGGATCTGGGATCCAAATCCCCAAAACACTTCCGCCCGGCCGAGGCGTCAACGTGAGTTCTTGATTCCCTGTTTTCATCCTTTTTCCATTTCTATTTTGATCTAATGGCTATTACCTTTGTGTAGGCTCTTGCAGACAAAGTCACCCCCGGGAAAGTGGCACCCAAGAAGAGTCTCACCATTTAGGTGGGACAGATGGCGTCGCCTGGCGTCACCCCTGATTCGGGTAGGAGTGGTGCCGACGTTGGATCTGCGTTGGCCAACCCGGACGGCGTCTGTGGTGGCGCCACGCCTGGAGGTTACCTGTGGTAGTAGCCTCCCATGGCGGACGTGGTACGGTGGCCGAGGGCCGCACATCTGCGCCGGTGGAGGTGGTCGTGACGCGCCAAGCCGAGGATCGGCTCGGGGCTGGCGTGGTGGTGCTCGAGGCGTGGTGCAATCCGCGCCACCGGGGGCCCAGGTGGATCCGCCCGTGGCGCTCGAAGTGGCCCAGATGGAGGAGGGTCTAGTCGGAGGGTCCTCGAGTGCGGTGGTGGTGCCGCATAAGGTCGGAGAGGAAGCGCCTGACCCCTTTGTCGGGGAGGAAACCGCTCCCCCACGCGGGGGGAGCCGCCGCTTCAGTGGATGGCTGCTCAGGACCCGACGTCGGCTCTTTTCTCGCTCGATGATCATTCCGAGAGCATGGAGCGGAAGGGTCTTGACATCGGAATTTTGACCATGCTGGAGGCCCTGGACCAGACCAGAGGAGCCTTGTGTGAAATCGTTGTTCCTACTACCTAGGTATTCGTTTGATTTTCTTCTTTCTTCGCACGTTTTTGTGTTTTCGCATTTCTGATACTAGTCTTTTTCCTCTTCAGGCTCTTGTTACTCGT